GAAGGTGCTGCCTCCGGCTCTCAAGGGGACATCACTGTTGTTGCCCTATTCTACAGGCGAGGAAGCTGAGGCACAGAGAGGTCAGCACTTGCCCAGTCACAGAGCTGGGAATAGGCGGAGGCGGGATTTGAACCCAGAAGTCCAGAGCGCTGGGTTCACGTGTTCACGATGCAGCGGTGGCGTTGTCACATCTGAAGGTGGCTTTGGGGAGTCTGCATGGGGAGATGTTGCCCTTCTGGGCTGCTTCTTCCCCGAGGCCCTGGTCGCTAAGGTGGGAGGAGGAGCTCGCTGGATGCTGAGCGCCCAGCGACGGCCCTGGCTCCGGAGAGCAAGGTCTCAGGGGACATAGCCATTTGAGTAAAGCCCCCTGAGGGAGCCTGGAGCTTCGAAGGCTGGGGATCATCCACTGGCTTTCAGATGGCACTCTGGGGGGTGGGGGCTGGGCACCTAGAAGGTGCTTCCTGGGCTGTGAGGGTGAGGAGGGGCCAAAGGCACCCACCCCGCTTCTGTCTCAGCCATTTTCTGGGTGTCCCTGTAAGATTACTGTACTGAAAAGGGGGAGCCCCTGCCTTTGTCCAGCAGACAGGCCTTTCCCAAAGTCCAACCTCAGGGAAGTTGGTCCCTGCCCGAGCTGGGCAGTGAGTGCATGTGGATGGGGGACCTTCCCCTGAGGCTCTCCTCTGCCAACTAGGCCCCTGCCGGGCCTTGCTGGTCACATCCAAGCTGGGCTGATGGTTCCTTGGTGGCCTGGCCCCTGCTGGGGGTCAGGCTCTGGCGGGTCTGCTCTGCCTCCTATCCCTTCACTGGTTCCTAGTGTCTCCCTCCTCGAAGCCCCCAGGCCACCGCGGGTCAAGCAGCAGTCTAGTGACTGCTGGGTTCTGAGTCCAGGCATTCTGGTTTCCTGAAGGAGAAGCCTGGGAAGCTTCCAAAGTGGGGAGTGTGGGAGGCTGGCCCCGGGAGCCTCAGCCTGGGGGGTCACACACCTATAGGCCCATCCCCCAGGTGGCTGGCTGAGGGCCTTTGTGGTCCTGGAACCAAGAGAAGACGCGGGGGGTGTTTGTGTTGGTCGGCTGCAGCGTCCCTCCCTAGGGAAACCGTTAGTCACTCTGGCGCGGTCTGTGGCAGCCAGAGTGCCGAGAGCCTGGGGACCCTGCCAGGGGGTGCAGAGCCCTGGTGGCTGGGCGGGCGGGAGCCCCAGGGTTGAGGGTGAGCCCTGTGTGGCCCTAAGTTTTCCCAGAGTGGGTGCAGCTGGGACTCTGTGCGTCTGTCGGTGTGACTGTGAGTGTCTGCACGTGTGTGTGCCAGTTGGGCACGCCGGGTCCTATCATATCTGCGTTTCAGCACACCCGCCCCAGGAGGCAGTGTGGACCTGGGTTGGAGTCTTTATCCACATGGCCAGCTGGGTGACCCTGAACATCCCAGCCACCCACAACAGGGAAATGAGATGAAGGAGGCCAGCCCCCCTAGGGCTCGGGGAGGATTCCGGGGTCCTGAGCATCAGGAGCTCAGCAGACAGAGATGACACAATAAACAAGAGTGATAGGGTCTTACCAGTGGGACGCCCCGGACAGGCCACTCGACCAACTCTGAGCCTCAGTTTCCCCGTCTATAGAATGGGGATAATAAAGAGGCTGACCTCATGGCTCTTGGTACACCAGAAGAGCTATTAGTATCATTACGGTTGTGTTCCTTCAGCCCCTCCTTGTCAGTGGTCAGACACAGGGCAGAACTTTTCCTGTAGGTGGAAGGAGCGGCTGCAGTTCCCTCAGCAAGGAAAATGGTGGGAGGGGAGGGTTTTCCAGGTACTGCTGGTTGGGTCCTGTGACAGCTGGAGTGTGGAGGCAGGGGGCTGGATGCAATGGCTCAGAAGGCTTTAAGAGGTGTGGCTCTGGCTTCTAACCCCTACCTCGAGGAGGCGCCTGTTTCCCGGGGGGTGGGGTGCGGGTGGGGGTGGAGGTGGGAGCCTGGCCTATTTGGGGCGGCTTGCTGTGGTGGTCTTGCAAAGCCTGGGATTTGCCCCGGGATTCCTGGGGCTTGAGCATGGCTATGCGCGCCCGCTCTGCTCTGGGCTCCGGGCTTCGGGCTCTGGGCTCTGGGCTCTGACTCAGCAGAAAGAGGGCCCGGAGCCTCAGCCCTGCTCTGCCAGGGGCTGCTTAGCTGGCCTGGGCCCAGCCGGGCCGCTGTGCCTGGCCAGCTGGTGCGAACATCTGCAGAGACTCCCTGAGCCTCACCCCTGGCCAGGTCCTTCCAGCAGGCTGTGGGCACTCTTGGGCCCCCCTGGAGCCCTGGGCTCCGCCCTTGCTGGGTCCGTCTCCATCCCTCCACCTGCCTGGGGGCTCTGCGGGGTCCTCCATGAGATTTCCTGAGGCTGGCTGGAGGGTCTGGGGGCATGGGCCGCCTCTGGATCTCGGTCTCTCCATCTGTAAAACAGAGAGATCAGACTGGCCGCTTCCACGACCCCCACTCCAGCCTCTGTCAGGGGCTGGGCCCACTCTGCAGGCCAGGCCTGGCTCGCTGTGCTGCTGCCCACCTCCCCTGTGACCCCAGCTGCTCAGTCTGGCCACCCCGAAATGTGGCCCCGAGTCCTGGCCCTGCGAAGGCGGGCCGCCCAGCTCGCGGCTCAGGCCACGGCAGCCAGCAGGCAGCTGGGCCGGCCTGGCCGGGCT